AACAATAGTGATCGTGTGAAGAGATGGCTTTACAGCCTCTTCCCCTACTTCAGCAAATCTGCAATTGGAAATCAGAGATGAGGTATCAGGGTTTCTAGGTAACCCAAATGACAGAGTGCCAAGTTCAGGATCCATGCTTAGAGGAAACACCTTGTTCTTACACGAATCATTGACAGTAAATGAATGCACTTAAGGTTGAAGTTTAAGTAAAATGGTTGACACGGTTGTATCATTTGTAGAATTTCCCCACTTTAAATAGTCTTTTTAATATATTAGTCTCCAGTGCTTCAGATGAGGGATTTTCTTATTTTATTAGGAATGTTGGTGACATATATATTGACATTCCTCTCCTTTTAATTTTTGGTAAATATACCCCATACTCTCCCAAGATGTTTGGTTGAGACTCTTTGCCAGTGGTTCCCAATTTTTTTATTTTATTTATTTTTTTGGTACCAGGGATTGAACCCAGGACCCAGTGGTGCTTAACCACTGAGTCACATCCCCATTAGCTTTTATTTTGAGATAGGGTCTCACTAACTTGCTTAGGGCCTCACTAAATTGCTGAGGCTGACTTTGAACTTGCAGTTTTCTTGCCCCAGCCTCCCACACTGCTGGGATTACAGGTGTGTGCCACTGCACATGACTATGGTTCCCACTCCTGGCTGCTCGCAGGCACCTATGGAGCCTGAAAATCTCTGATGGGTTCCCCTCCATTGACTTGGATTTCATTGGCCTCCATAAGGGCTGGACATGGGCATATTCTAGCAGTTCAGCTGATTCTAACCTGCTGCCAGGGTTGAGCACCTCTGTTCTGTTTCCTATTTGGGCCACTTGGGGCTTGTGGATATGTTTGCAAGAGTCAGAGGAAGACTCTTTGGTCCATCTTGTCTTCCCCAAAGGAAAGCCAGAAAGCTTGAGCAAAAATTCTGAAGAGTCCCTGCACTGGCCTTAGGAATCTGGACCCCTAGAGGGTGTCTCCCAGAAGAATGACAGTGGCACCAGGGAGAGTTCACATTGTGGCAGTGGGATGGGCTGGACATCAGGTGATATGAAAGGGTACATTGAGAATGCCCAATTCTAGCAGCAGCAAGCACCATGATCAGGCATGTGATGATGATGGATGGTCATCACATACAAGAGAAGTTCCTTGAGGTCATTTCATTTTCCTGCCAATAGATGATGGGATATTCTCATAGTTGATTCTCATTATTTGTGTTCTATGTTATGTTCTATGAAGTTACTGTGAGCACTGAATTAGCAAATCCTGAGCCATTGCTCCTAGAGAGAAATATGGAATTAGGTTCTTATGAATCTCTGGCTGCAACATTTTCATTAACTTATTGATACCTAACATTGTTTTAAGCATGTGTCTGCTTAATAACATCTTATTTAACAGACTGCAATAACTTAGAATTCGCAGCCGACAGTACTATGACTCATGCCTGAGTGAAGCTTATCTAACACACATATTTTCTCCATAAGGCACATCCCAGCCTCTTATGCCTGGGAACACTAGATAGAAATTCAGTGCTACGATTGGAGACCATTTCCAACAGCAAAATCACCAATCTTAAAAGGCACAAAAAGGTAGAAAACATGGCAATACATCAACTTCAATAAAGATACTTGTTTACAGTATGAAAGTAGAAATTAAAAAGGCAGAGTATCATCTTGCTCATCTTAGTTGGGAACATGGAGAATGGAAGACTCAAACATTTTCACTATTCTGCAATATGCATGTCGACAAATGAGCAGGCTAGTGTTGATCTTGGGCTTATAAATAAAATATAGGAAGTAGGTGAATTCATAAATACAGTACCTACAAAATGAGGAAACACTGCTCATAGCTGTGCATTTCCACACTTCCTCCTCCATCCTGTAAGTCACATTCCTTTTTTTTCTTTAAAGTCCTGCCTGACCTGTCAAGGCAGCCTTTGTTGATCTGCATCCTGCCTCCAATCATTCCATTCGGGGCTCACTTTAGAGAATATTGTTGGGACAAATCAGCCAATCAATTAACCATTCAGTGGATATTAATGGAGTAGTTTAAAGCCTTCTGCAGAACTTTGAGGATGCACAGTGGGAAATAAGTATGTATAAGAAGGAGTGTCTTCCCAAAGAAGAACTACTATTTACTAGTTTTTGTTGTTCTTATTGTTGCTGGGGATTGAATCCAGAAGGGCTCTACCACTGAGCTACATCCCCAGCCCTTTTTATTTTTATTTTGAATCAGGGTCTCCCTAAGTTGGCTTGATTGGCCTGGAATTTCTGATTTTCCTGCCTCAGACTCCAAAGTAGCTCAGATTACAGGTGTGTGACACCATGCCTGGCTATTTACTAGTATTTGAGAAGAGAAGGCTACACATGAAAAAAAAAAAAGGTGAACAATGCCAAAGTACTGAACTTTAAAAGGGTCTACTTTAAATGAATTGCCTGCTATAAGTAGTATAAATGTCTAGAAAAAAAAGGCTACTAGTAAAAGCTTTAAATTAAGCTTTCTTGAGAAATGGGACTTTCGTTGGATCATAGGGAAAAAAGATAGATATATGGAAAATCCGTATTCAAGATATATGAATAGAGCTTGAGAAGTGTGAAGGGAAATGGTTGTTGCTTCAAAATAAGAATAAAACCTTAGGTAGGATGCTTGCATGTGAGCAGGTAAAGCAGGGGAGCTGGGTGCAAGCTCAGGTGTGGTTGGTGCTTTATTTCTTACTCTGAGACATTTTACCAAAAACACTGACAACATTCCAGATGGATATTTTCTTTCCCTTTTTAAATTTTTTATATTGTGGATGAAACCTAGAGGTGCTTTTATCACTAAGTTACATCTTCAGTCCTCTTTATTTTGAGTCAGTGTCTCTCTCACTAAATTGCCAAGGCTGGCCTGGAATTTGAGATCCTCCTGTCTCAGCCTCCAAAATCACCGGGTTTACAGGTTTACACTGCAGTACTGGGCTTCCAAGGTAGATTAACATACAGAAGATATTTTGTATCTGTTATTTTTTGCTATTTGCCTTTAGCCAGCATCTCAAGGACTCATTGGTAGTGGTAGATAAGGCAAAGTATTTGAAAGATTATTCTAAAGAAAAGTACAGGATATGGACCCCAGGTAATGAACTACTTCACAGGATCCTTGATAGATTTAACTCATAGGCTCATCACCTTCCCAACATAATCTACCCACTACTCTTCAGCAAAAAACTGACTACATACCAGTGACCATTGTAAGTGTAGATATCCTTTTTTTTTTTCTTTTCATTTAAGGAAGTATAGTCAAGTGTGGCTTAGCAATGGGGACATGTCCCAAGAAGTACAGCATTACATGATTTTGTCTTTGTGTGAAAATCAGAGTGAACTTACTCAAACCTGGATGGTATAGTTCAACCACTAGACACGGCCTCTTGATGCAATCAAGAGATGTGGTAAGGGGCTGGGGCTGGGGCTCAGTGGTAGTGCACTTGCCTGGCATGTGTGAGGCACTGGGTTTGATTCTTAGCACCACATATAAATAAAATAAAGGTTTATCAACAACTAAAAAAATATTTAAAAAGAAGACATAAACATCAGATGGAGAAAGCTGGTGCTGGCTAACAGAGCACACTGTCAACCTTTCTTTTCCTAAATTTATGCTCTAAAATAATAATAAAAATATAGTATAGTAAATTCATAAACCACAACATAGTTATTTATTATCATTATCAGGTGTTTTATGCTGTACATAATTGCAGAGCAGGTTGGTCCATATCATCACAAACATCTGAGTATTGCTTTTTGCTACAATATTGCAGGACTACAATGTCATTAAGGCATCAGAAATCTTGTCAGTTTCTTTATAATCTTATGGGACCACTTTCATACATGTAGTCCATGGTTGACCAAAACATCAAAATTTACAGCCTAAATGACTTTTGTCATTTTTTGTCATTTTTTGTACTCCTTTACTAATAACAAATGATTTGCTATATGGGATTTGGTACAAGGTGGCTGCTCTGACCAGTTGGACTGTAGGTGGGGCCAGCCTCTTAAGAATATTGTTAAGAAAAGAAAGCAACCCTTTAGAGCAGTGTCTGGCACTCACCTAGCCTTAAGTGTTTGCTCTTATTAGTACAAAGGCCAAGTTTCCTATGGTGTCCCAGTCACTTCCTTGTAAATTCTACAAAGTAGTACAATCCCAGGATCCCAGGAAACAGGAGCTGGCTTGGAACAAGTGGGCATCCACAGTGACTGAGCCTAATTGTACGTTTGGGATGTGTAAAAGGCATTTATCCAGTTGAAACATGAGCTTGAATATGCAGTCCATTCTTTCTTTCAGCAAGCACTGGTTAGGCATGAGTTATGTGCCAAGCGCTGGGATACCCGTCGGCATGTAGAGTTAGCCTCAAATACAGCACCCTAGGTAATGTGAGCCCTCTACACAAGGCATTTCATGAGAGTTAAGCGTTCTTCTCTTCATTTTCTAGGGAGGGAACGGAGGCTTTCAGAAATCTTTAGTACTTGCCAGGCATTTAACTCAACAGCCATCCCCACTTCCCCCTCCACCGCCCCATCGAATGACCTGGATACGTCCGTGAACATTCTTTAAGAAACTTACTCTGTATTGATTAAAAAACAAAAAATCAAAAACGCAATGAGACCCTTAGTAACAATTCTGCTCTCCTTCTCTCCAGAGAACTCCAAACGTTGAACGGGGTCAGAGMATGCCCCCCACCCCTCTAATTCCAGGAGCACCCCACTTCTAACGCTTTGAGCAGTTAGATCCGAAAGGAAAGGAAAGGAGATGCGAGAGCTTTCGTTGCCCCTTTGGGTCCTTGGGAGACCTTCAGTCCATCCCTACTTCAGACTGTAGGATCCAAGGCTACCAGGTTGCACGGTGGGTCGCCAGGTTTCTTTGCTTTCAAAGCTCTGCGCGACGGCCACACCAAATACCAAACGGTCACTTCCCCGCCCTCCGGGCGCAGTATGCAAATCCGAGCACCAGGAAGTAGCTGGGACCTCTCGGCCGAGCCCAGCAACAGCCAGTTCCTCTCCCACCGTGCCGGCCCGCGCTGCCTCTCGCTCCCCTGCGGCGGAGCCTTTGGGCCCGACGCGCTGCAGCCTGCTGACCGCTGCAGGCGGGGCATCGGTCACTCCCGACCCCGAGCCTGCAACCCCTGGGCCAAGTGTCCGGCGTTCTCTGCCCGCCGCCCCTCACCAGGAGGGCTCCTCTGGGCTGTCCTGTCGCGCTCCCAGCTTTGAACTCAAGTCACCGTGGAGCTCCGCCGCCGCAGACCCGAAACTTTCACCGTGAGCGGGTGAGTCTCCGGCTTGAGCTCGGGGGTGCCCAGAGCAGGGGCCTGGAGGGACTGAGTGGGACCGCGGCTGTACCACCCGTGGGAGCCCGGGTTGCGGGTTTAGCTCCGGACCCTGGGCTTCGGCAGGGGCCGCGGCAGCAAAGATCGCGCGCCGCTTCCTGGCCTCCCCAGCGCCCGCCCCCGCTGGTGGAAGCACACAGATGCTTTAAACCTGTGGGTGACCCGCCCCATAGTGGGGACAGGACGTGGGCGCGGGCGACCGCGGGCGGCCGCAGGTGGCCGCAGGTGTCCGCAGCGCTCCCTCCCGCAGAGGTGCGGTGGAGGTGTGGGCACCGGGGGCCGGCGCACGGCGCACTCCTCCAGGCTTGGGCGCCCGGGCCGGCTGCTGTCCCGGTTCCGTCCACTCGCAGTGCGCCGCGGGGAAGCCCCTGTCCACGCGAGTCAGCACACAGCCGGGATCCCGGGGGAACTCCTTGGATTGAGCGATCGGGTCTCACCACTGGGGTCTGGGGCCCCAGAGGTGAGGAGTGGGGTTCAGAGCGGTCCCCTCTTTCAGACCTGCGGAAAACTGCCCTCCTTAGGGGCCCCTGGGAGGATGGTGACGTCGAGCGGCTGTGGCGGAGACTGGTGCTCACTCTCCCACAGAGCCGGCTCCTCTCCCCCTGCAGCCTAGCAGTCGGACGCTCTGGCTGGAGGAAGCGAGAGTTATTTTAAGAATTCAGGGGTTGCCTTTCCTTCGCGTTGGGGGATGGGTGTAAGCTCCAGTCCCCACTTTCCTGTGATATCTTGACCGACTGCGCCGGCTTCTTGATCCTGTGCATTTGTAATGTTTCTTCTAACAACAGCCCCACTGCCCTGTGAACTAATTAATGGTTGTGACTTTTTAAAAATTTATTTTTTATTTTTGTATATCCGTGGTGTGTGTGTGTGTGTGGGGGGGAGGGGATCAAACTTCTCTGCTATCTTAGAAACCCAAGTTGGAATATAGGACTTGGAATCTCCCAGCTGTGCATGAAGGTGGCCAATTATTGAAATTCCCTGTTTGATTTTTCTCCTCTTTTACAAGTGCCTACCTACCTCCACAGAAAACCCCTAGTAGGTACGTGGCATTCCGTAAATGGTATTGTTATTGTTATTTATTGCAACTACTTCTATTAATAAAAAAACGAGACTCCTTGGTTCTTCATAGTTTGTCTATTTTAAACCTAAGACTACATGTCTGGTTTAGTTTCTGACTTTACTGGTAAGTTGCTTAATACACACTAGAAGGCTTTACTGTCTCAAAGCAGGTCTAGAGCTGGGCATGGTGGTGCATGCCTGTAATCCCAGCGGCTCAGGAGGCTGAGGCAGGAGGATMACGAGTTCAAAGCCAGTCTCAACAACTTAGAGAGGCCCTAAGCAACTCAGTGAGACCCTGTCTCTAAATAAAATATAAAAAGGGCTGAGGATATGACTCAGAGGTTAAGCACTCTTGGGATCAACCCCCAGTACCAAAAAAAAAAAAAAAAAAAGAAAGAAAAAAAAAGAAAGAAAGAAAGAAAGAGCAGTTTCAATAGTCCAATGCACCCTAAGAACTAGCCAGTAAAGATGTTTGACCCTTGTGTTTTCTGCGCCTAGGAGGCTGTAGGGATGTTCAACATCTATAGCATTGCTTAAGGAATAGACTTTGACAATACATGAGCTTATGGAATTCTTCCAGAGTTAGGGTGAACCCTGATGGGAAATGGGCTGAGGCAGGGGATATCTAGTTGTTTCTCCATTCTCATTTGGAGGTAAGAAAGTAAGCATTTTGAGGCTTCAGAAATTTAATTGGATCTCAAGARCCTTTGATGACTGAGCCTCTTTGGCTATAAATGGGGTGACCCTCTTGCTAAGTGAAGGGTAGAAGGCAGTGGATGTGAGGTAAGAGAAAACAGGAGCCAGGAAACCCGAGTTTGGTTTCTTTCACAGTTTACTGGAGCTGTGATTTGAGATAAACCAATTAGGCCATTGAATGAGCCAGTGTTTCCTTCATAGCGGCAATTAGTCATACTATGGTTCATCCACATGTTTATGGGCTGTATTCTCCACTAGAATGGAAGCTCCACAAACAACACTTGCCTGTCCTGTCCAAAATGATAGCCTGGTGCCTGGCACATAGTAGGTATTCAGTAGAGGTTACTTGGAAGAAGGAAGGAAGTCCTGCCAAGAACATCCGGGGATGAAACAAAGCTAGTCCCTAAGGCATTTGAAGCCTTCTGGGAGCTTTCTGTCCAGGAATTTGAGGGACTTTGTTGAGCAAGACTGGTGTTCTAAATGGAAATGTCTGTTCAGGACCGGTCTTCCCTGCTGAATCTGTGGAGTAGCAACATGTCCCCTGATAAGGTAGTTGGCCCAATCTCTTTATCTTAGGATCTTCTTTGTTGCAAAGGTATGCAGAGACTTTGTATATCCAGAGGCTGGCTTTCTTTCTTTATTTTTTTTAAAGCARAAAAGTGGTCTGGCATCATGTTGTAAATCAATGTCTTTCAGTTCTACCTGTATTTGTCTTCAGAAATAAATCACCAAAACACCTGAGATTCCAGTTGTTTCTCGTGAATATGTAGAATCGGCACTTAGCAATATGAAACCATATGACCATTTATACAAGCCTGTGCTAATTTTCTAAATAAGAATATAGCATGTACATGCCCATGGCATGGGACATGGTTGCTGCTACTCACTGACACTGAAGTCTCTGTGATGCATGGATTAATGAAAACAGTGAAGGGCCACCATGGTCAGTTGGACTCTGGTCAAGGACACACTGAGAGCAAACATGTCCTCAGATATTTTCTGGACAGATCTTGACAGTGTTGGTGCTATACCTTATGCTTTTCCAAGGTGTTAAAGTTTCCTGAACCCTGACTTCATTTGAACCTTTTATGGTCTGTATAGAATAGGCAGAACAGATACGGAAAGGGAGATTCAGGAGCTGGTCCAAGATCACAGGCTAAGTGGCACCATTGGGTGTAGTAGGTGTGTTCTGGCTGTTCCCTCTTGTCTACCTTTGGACCTGTAATAGGTACTTAAAAGCAAAGAAACAAACTTATTATTTAATATATATTGTAGAAATGGAGAAATAGGGAATCATGAAGTCATTGTCTTTTATCACTGTGGATTTACCAGAACCAAGTAGGTAACTGCTCAAGACATAGAAGGAAACCCCTATTAAGCTGAGCACTTAAGCTCTCCCTCTAGAAATGAGTTTCTGTGTCTTTCAGCACAGCCTCCTGTGTGGGGGTATGGGTAGGGCATCTCCAAAAACTGCTAAGGTGACACCTATGTGGCTACTCTCCAAGCAGCTCTAGTGACAGTCTTGGTGGCTGTTAAGATGTTTATTGGTTAGTGCAGAAATGCCCAAGGAACATTAGGCAAAAGTGCTATAAAGTGCTTCTCCAAGAACCCAACCAGCCTTTTTCTATGGTTGTCATAACAATCAGAGCATCATTCAAGGTAAACATATAAGGTCAGGAGACAGGGCCTATAGCATGCATGGTATAACACACATCCCATTGTATGCTCATTTGCTATGTGCAATTCATCACTCTAAACCAATATTCTTATAATTCATATTCATTGCCTTCCATCCTTTAAGTTTGTTCATGGAAGAGGAAGTATTTTTTTTAAATAGTCAGAGATACTGAAATGTTCCTTACAGCTGCTTAGTTTCCTGATTTAAATTGTGAAACTTTGAGTTCACTCTATCATCATTTCTAAAATTTATTTTGAGTAAGTTCCCTTTGAGGGGAGACACACAAGGGTAAAAATTAGCATGGAAAGCTGCCAAGTGAGGGATGAGACATTGTGTAACACAGACTTTCTCTTATCTTTGGCTTAAATTAGCTGGAAGAATTCTCTTGAAATTTAGAATAGCAATAGGTTTGTCCAAGGTAACAAGTGTAGGGACCTTATTCYTTATTTTTCGACTTTTTCTTCATTTTTGTTCTATACTTCATTTTCCCTTCTTAGTGAATAAGCCATCAACATTCATTATTTGCCACTAAGTAATTTCTGGAAAGTCATATTTATAATCAGGAGATAGTTTTCATGGGGACAGATCTCTCTCAAAAGTGTTGTTTGTTTTACTGTGTTTTATTAACACTTGATATATTTCCAATTCCCCCTTCTCTCCCTCTGTTTGTCAGCTCTTTCTCTATCATCTAACAAAGCTTCTTTCAAACCAGGAATAGATAGGACATGAGTTTGACCAATTATGGGAAGAGATTATCAGTTAGTCTCATTATTATAACTGTTCATTACTCATCATACTGAGATCCCTCAATGATGTCTGACAAAACGACAAAACTGATGGGGATAAAATTATAGCAATTTCCTAATGGTCTAGTTTCTGGTTTATGGAGTTGTAGAACATTGGGAAGAAGTCTTCGTGGGTGTGTAGCTCAGAGTCTTTTAGTTTGTTTCATTTCCTTTTGTACAGTTAGTACTTCAGACAAAGTCAAATGCTGCTCTGGCTTTGAGCAGTCTCACCTCTCTCTGAGCATCTACAATCCCTCTTGTGATACTTTATTGGCCCCAAATGGTACTGGTTGGAAACTCCTTGAAAATGTGTTCCTAGTTCCCTCCCTCAGATCCATAGTGGTAAAACTTTGGGTGGGGAGCTAGGTGCCTTTGGGCTTCTCTTGGGTGCTGGGGAGAGTACCTAAGGAGTCTATGGGTCTGTGTTCACTCTGCCTCTGCTTGAAGGAACTAGGTCCAGTCTGCTTGGTGTTTGGACCTTGTGGGTGCCTCAGTCTTCCTGTAAATGTTAACCCTGCCCCCCCCCCCAGGGAGGGGAATGGAGAAGCTTGTCTGTCAGGGGGCCCCTGGAGAAGGAGGACCACTTCTGCTTTCCACGGGAAAGCTGTGTCACTGGAGAACAGAACTGCAGCCTGAGGGAGGAGCCCCAGGGAGGAGGGGGCAAGGAAGTGATACTTCCTCCTACTCTGAAGCCCTATGCCCAGTCACAGCCTGCAGCCCCC